CAGCCCCCCCCGTTCCCGCCCCCGCGGCGCGACCGGCTGTGCGCCCGCCCCCGCACAAACCCGAGACTGCCGCCGTGCCTGATATAAAATTTATTGATCTCTCTTCGTTTGGAAGAAGGAAGCAAACGAGGGCTAGGGACAGGGAGAGGGAAGGAGTGTTTCGATGACTTTTTTTTTTTTCTTTCGGAAGAAATCCGGTAAACAAAAGCAAAACGTTTCTTCATCTGATATGTCAAAACATGGTTCACAGTAAAAGTCACAAACCAATTTACATAAGTTTACAGCTTAAGAAAAACCAAGACACAACTTACTATAAATAAAAGAAATGCGTTTGCGACCCGCACAGCTCTCTCCCACCTCCCCTATTTTAAGGAACAAAACCCTAAAGTAAAAAAATCGTGAAAGCTACAGATGGTGGATAGAAAACAAGCGAGGCTCGGTTAGGTGGGGAGAACAAAAAACTTAAGAAAACAATGAAAAACTAAATTTAAAAACAAAAGCCCGCCGTGTTTTTTTTTTATGTCATTGCAACGCTAGAAATCAAACTGGAAGATGCAAGATGTTTTAAAAACTTTTAAGCGAATAAAACAGCGCCGAGCCTAGCAGAAACCAGGAAAGAAGTTGCCGTGGTTTAAAAACTTCACAGCGGCTTCTAGAAGGCAGGAGTTGTGCTCTTTAAAATAACAGCTTGCTCAAATATTTTTTCTGTACAAAAAAAAAAAGGACACAACTAACGGATTTCCTTTTTAAAATTTCTCCAAAGTTAGTATTAAGTCTGGTAAGCCGAGCAACACTGCCGTACGTCCCGGTGGAGTCGGGGAGCGGTGGTGGGGTTAGAGACTAAGACGGGGGAGCAGCCAAGTTTATATGTGAGTTAGTGGTACGGTACCATTCACGCCAGTCCCGGCACTCTGGTAGTGCTGGTGGACGCTGTGTAACCTGCTGCCTTGCAGGCCGGAAGGGTCTGTGGCATCCCCCCCCGGGGGCAGGTACATGCTGATCATATCCCGCAGGTCTCCCAGGCAGGCCCTCTGCGAGTGGGAAGTGATGGCTGGAGGCGGCGAGCTAGGTTCGGATTTCACCACCGAGCCCATGGAGCCCAGGCTCATGGCCGTGGAGGGCTGCTGGCCGTAGGCGGCGGGGGACATGCTGTAGGTGGAGGCGGCGTTCATGTAGGTCTGGGCCGTGGACATCATGGGGCTGTACTGCAGGCC